GGAATTAATTAAACAGGGTACAAAAATACCTGGGCACCCCTGTTGAATGCTATTTGGACTTTGCCTTTGGAGACTTTTTTTGAGAAGCAGTGCTCCATTTTCACTGGACTTGATTTGGATTTTATCCATGAAGATTTTTTTGAGAGTGGTGCTCCCATCTTCATTATCGTCCCGTCTCTAATCTTCCATTCTTAGGTAAGGTGATAGAGCGGGCTGTATTGGGACAATTGCAACAATTTTTGGATGACACAGCCGGCCTGGATCCTTTCCAGTCAGGTTTTCACCCGGGTCATAGGACGGAGACAGTCCTGGTTGCTGTTACAGATTAATTTCGTCGTCAGTCTGATAGTGGCGGATCGGCGCTTCTGGTACTTCTCGATCTTACCGCAGCGTTTGACACCGGTGACTACGATTTAATGATCCACCGTCTCACCATGTCCGGAGTTCATGGTCAGGCCCTCAATTGGTTCAATTCATTCCTCCGAAATCGCAGTCAGTGCGTGGAATATATGGACCAAGTCTCCGAAAGTTCCCCCCTCCTATGCGGGGTACCCCAAGGTGCAATTCTTTCTCCTCTTCTTTTCAACATCTACGTTAGACTCCTTGCCAGTTTGGCTCGGAGATTCGGCCTGGACTGCTATCAATATGCGGACAACACCCAACTCCTGTTGTGCTTGGAGCCTGGAGTAACGTCAATACCTGACAATTTCACCTTATGCCTGGAGGCTCTGTCGAACTGGCTACATGCTAGCAGACTGAAGGTGAATCCGGCGAAGACTGAGATCCTGTGGCATGGCCGCCCGATAGGTCCGACCCATCCGTTACCTACCTTTGATGGTGCTGCTCTATCTCCATCGCCTACCGTTAAGAGCCTAGGTGTCGTTTTGGATTCGCAGCTGACGATGGAGGCTCAGGTCACTGCTGCCAGCAAACAGGCCTTTTTCCATCTACGACAAGCGAGGCAACTGGCACCTTACCTGTCGGATGAGGCTCTGGCAACAGTCATCCATGCCACAGTCACATCTAGGCTAGACTATTGTAACGCCTTGTATGTTGGCCTTCCTATTTCTACAACCTGAAAGCTCCGTATTGTCCAGAATGCTGCAGCCAGGTTACTCACAAAAATGCCCATGAAATGCCATATAACACCAGTGCTGCGGCATCTACACTGGCTCCCAATTGAGTATCGTGGTTTGTATAAGATGCTGGTCCTGACCTTTAAAACTTTATATGGCCAGGGTCCATTGTATCTTAGAGACTGTCTCTCCTTCTACCATCATTGGAGGTCACCATGACCATCCCAACGTGATTTGCTCTATATGCTGGGTCCTAGGGAAGTGCACTTGGAAAGCACCAGACGCAGGGCCTTCTCTGTTTCTGCCCCTGCCTTATGGAATTCCTTGCCTCCCTATTTGAGAGCCATGCGTGACTTAGGGCATTTTATCCTAGCACTTAAGACCTGGCTTTTTACTAGAGCATTTGACCCATGTTAATTTTAATATTTGTATGTATGTGTTTTATCCTGTGTAATTTCTGCAATGTAAATCGGCTGGAGCATCTCGGATGGAGGGCGATTAATAAGTAATTAAAGATGATGGTGATGATGATTGTTTTCAATCTACATATAGCCTCATGACTCAATGCTTGCTTTGTTTAAATAATTTTTCTCATTGAATGTATCCCTGAAGCCTATATACAGTGGAATCCTTATTTAGACTTAGAACTGTTACCTTTGAGAGCGGCTGCTCCTTTTGATTTTGCTCTATGCCACTTATTTATTTATCGTGTCATCAGCAACCATACCATTGTGTTACAATTCTAACAGAACAAAACAAACACACAGATTTAAAAGAAAAAGAAAAAAAACACACAGATTTTGCAAACTTGGTAGTTGGTTAAATGTCCTTTGACCAGTATCTGGCCACTTGGAGTGCCTCTGGTGTTGCCGCAAGAAGGTCCTCCATTGTGCATGTGGCAGGGCTCAGGTGCATTGCAGCAGGTGGTCAGTGGTTTGTTCTTCTCCGCACTCGCATGCCGAGGATTCCACCCTGTAGCCCCATTTCTTAAGATTGGCTCTGCTTCTCGTGGTGCCAGAGCGCAGTCTGTTCAGCACCTTCCAAGTTGCCCAGTCTTCTGTCTGCCCAGGGGGGAGTCTCTCATCTGGTATCACCCATGGATTGAGGTGCTGGGTTTGGGCCTGCCACTTTTGGACTCTCGCTTGCTGGGGTGTTCCAGCGAGTGTCTCTGTAGATCTAAGAAAACGATGTCTTGATTTAAGTCGTTGACGTGCTGGCTGATACCCAAACAGGGGATGAGCTGGAGATGTCCCTGCCTTGGTCCTTTCACTATTGGCTGCTACTTCCCGGCGGATGTCAGGTGGTGCAATACCGGCTAGACAGTGTAATTTCTCCAGTGGTGTAGGGCGCAGACACCCTGTGATAATGTGTCATGTCTCATTAAGAGCCACATCCACTGTTTTAGTGTGGTGAGATGTGTTCCACACTGGGCATGCATACTCAGCAGCAGAGTAGCACAGCGCAAGGGCAGATGTCTTCACTGTATCTGGTTGTGATCCCCAGGTTGTGCCAGTCAGCTTTCGTATGATATTGTTTCTAGCACCCACTTTTTGCTTGATGTTCAGGCAGTGCTTCTTGTAGGTCAGAGACGGTCCAGAGTGACTCCCAGGTATTTGGGTGTGCTGCAATGCTCCAGTGGGATTCCTTCCCAGGTAATCCTCAGACTCGGGATGCTTGTCTGATCTTAAGGTGAAAGGCACATGTCTGTGTTTTAGATGGATTAGGGATCAGTTGGTTTTCCCTGTAATAGGCAGTTAGAGCACCTAGAGCTTCGGAGAGCTTCTGTTCAACCATCTCAAAGCTCCCTGCTTGAGCGGTAATGGCACGATCATCAGCATAGATGAAGCTCTCTGTCCCTTCTGGCAGTGGCTGGTCATTTGTGTAGCTGTTGAACATGGATGGAGCGATCATGCTCCCCTGAGGCAGGCCGTTCTTCTGTTTCCGCCATCTGCTTCTCTGGCCCTGGAGCTCAACAAAGAAGCTCCTGTTTTGTAGCAGGTTTCCTATGAGGCGGGTGAGGTGGTAGTCCTTTATGATATTATACATTTTTCTCAGGAGGAGGCGGTGGTTTACAGTATCATAAGCCGATGACAGGTCTATGAAGACAGCTCCTGTGCTGAGCCAGGTTCAGCACTTGCGATGTGCAGCTTTTGCCTTTCCTGAAACCAGCTTGCTGTGGAATCAGACATGGGTCTATTTTTTCCATAATTCTATGCAGAATAAGTCTCTCCAGAACTTTGTAGAGGTGGCACAACAGGGAGATTGGTCTGTAGCTTTTTGGATCATTACGGTCTTTGCCTGGCTTCAAGATGGCGATGACTCTTGCTTTCCTCCAGATTTTGGGGATCTGACAGGATGCAGTGCAGTTGTTCATCAGCTCCAGCAGCCAGCGCCTTGCTTTTGGACCAAAGTTCTTGATTTGTTCCATCCGTAGATCATCCAGGCCAGCTGCTTTGCCATTCTTACATTTATTGAGAGCCATGTCCAATTCAGTAGATGTAAAAGGTTCATGAAGGTTGTTGTTCTCAATCTCTTGTTGTCTGGCTATTGGTTTCTTTCCTACTTTGGTGGCAAGGTTGGGTTTTCCGTTCTTCAAGAGTTGGTGTGCTATCTGATCTGCCTTTATGTTGGCATGAGTATTAGTTTGTGAGGGGTCATTGCTCAACCGTCTTAGCAACCTCCACGCCTTCTGGCTGCTCCTGCCCATGTCGACCTCTGTGATCAGCTTGATCCACTGTGGATCATGGAGGGCGATTAATAAGTAATTAAATAATCAAAAAAATTAATAAGTAATTAATTAATCAAAAAGCTAAACATAAAAAAAAACCAAGATTATGGCAACAAGAATGCTTGACAACTGGGAAATAGAGGGAGAAAACGTGGAGGCTGTCACAGACTTTGTATTTCTAGGCGCAAAGATTACTGCAGATGCAGACTGTAGCCAGGAAATCAGAAGACGCTTACCTCTTGGGAGGAGAGCAATGTCCAGTCTCGATAAAATAGTGAAGAGTAGAGACATCAGACTGGCAACAAAGATCCGCCTAGTCAAAGCCATGGTATTCACCTACGGATGTGAGAGCTGGACCTTAGGGAAGGCTGAGCAAAGGAAGATCGATGCTTTTGAGCTGTGTTGCTGGAGGAAAGTGCTGAGAGTGCCTTGGACTGCGAGAAGATCCAACCAGTCCATCCTCCAGGAAATAAAGCCCGACTGCTCATTGAAGGGAAAGATACTAGAGACAAAGTTGAAGTACTTTGGCCACGTCATGAGGAGACAACAAAGCTAGAGAAGACAATTATGCTGGGGAAAGTGGAAGGCAAAAGGAAGAGGGGCCGACCAAGGGCAAGATGGATGGATGGCATCCTTGAAGTGACTGGACTGACCTTGAAGGAGCTGGGGGTGGTGACGGCCGACAGGGAGCTCTGCCGTGGACTGGTCCATGAGGTCAGGAAGAGTCGGAGACGACTGAACGAATGAACAACAAAAGATGATGATGATTATTATTGTCTTCAATCTACATATAGCCTCATGACTCAGTGCTTACTTTGTTTAAATAATTTTTTGCATTGAATGTATCCCTGAAGCCTATATACAGTGGAATCCTTATTTAGACTTAGAACTGTTACCTTTGAGAGCGGCTGCTCCTTTTGATTTCGCTTTATGCCACTGAATTCAGTTATGTACTGGGGATTTTGGTAAACTGCATACTATATGCTCTTTTTGATATGATACTTTCCCATTACATAGATTGTTTTGTGTTTGCTCTGATACCTTTAACCTACTGCGCCACCGGGGGGCTCCTGAAACGGTGAAGGCGCGTGAGAAGGTGAGGAGGCGGGGCAAGCAATCCCGACGCTTTCCAGTTCTTGAAAGCAACCTGCTGGCTACTGAAGAGCGAGCGCGCGCGCATGGGCACGCGCTCTCTTGTGTTTCTTTCTCCCAGGCAGACGCGCGCTCTCCCTGACCCGTTTTGAGTGACAAGCGCGAGCCGGCTGTGGCTCCGCCCCCACCTTTAGTGTATTTTTCTTTTTGCCTGGGAGCTGAGGCGAGGAGACTCCAACTGAGAGCGAGCTTGGTTACGCATTGCGGCTGAAGGGAAAAGAGTCGCCAGCAGTGGCTTGAGGTCGCTAGCCAAGCGGGGGGAGCAATAAGGAGGCTGAAGCTTTCCTTACTGCTGGGCTGACCGAAGTGGGCGGAGCCTAAAGCTCGCCGCCGCTGCCGCCGCTACCTATCCATTCAGTCACCTAAAATGGCTGGAGAGAGGAGGTGGAGGAAGAGGAGGTGAGGCCGAACGGAGAGGAGAGCGCGCGCGAGCGGGTCCCCTCGCAGAGCAACGCGGCGCGCGCGCGCTTCATGGCGTAAGGAGAGCCGCTGCCGACAAGAAGGGTCCACGCGCCGCCTGAGGCGCCCTTCCTCGCCTCGCCCCCTTGGAGCCTTTCCTCGGAGACATGTCGTCGGCCGCGCAAGAGGAGAGCTCCGTCAGGGTCGCCGTCCGGTGAGAAACGAGGGGAGAGGGGAGGACACCCTGCATGGTGGGCTGGGCAGCCATTGGCCTTTGGGGCTTTTGAGGCCAGTCAGGCGAAGGAAGGGACAGCTCTCCTGGCGCAGCACCGCCAACCTGTTCCCCTCGCCTGATTGGACCCCGGGGCAAGTGACGTCACGAAGGATCTCTATGGGCGAGGATTGATAGCCAGGGTGGACCTGCTTCTCAAGGATGGTGGGCCTGAGATGCTCGCTCCTGGGTTGGCTTCCAGGCAGGGGTTTGGTTTCCTTCAGCTACTGCATATTTCATCTCAGGTGTTAAATGATGCATCAGCTGCCTCTGAGAAATGCCCGCTGTGTGTTTTATTTCATTTCATATGTCTTCTGCACTCCAGATTTTTATTTCGTATCAAGAGCATTGCATAAATAAGTATAAAATGGATAAAAATAGAAGGCTAAATATCTTTTGACCAAAAACAGGCAACAGCAGCGGCATTGTCTGCAGCCTCCAATAATAATAATCTATATAAATAAAAATGTACTATTCAATATATTGTCGAAGGCTTTCATGGCTGGAATCACTCAGTTCTTGTGGGGTTCTTCGGGCTATATGGCCATGTTCTAGAGGCATTTCTCCTGACGTTTCGCCTGCATCTATGGCAAGCATCCTCAGAGGTTTGGTCTTCTCACCTCACCTCTGAGGATGCTTGCCATAGATGCAGGCGAAACGTCAGGAGAAATGCCTCTAGAACATGGCCATATAGCCCGAAAAAACCCACAAGAACTGAATGTACTATTTGTTTGTGGGATTAACAAAACTCAAAAATCCACTGGATGAATTGACACCAAATTTGGACAGGGGGAGTGTGTCCCTGTTAGTTCTGCTGGACCTCTCAGTGGCCTTCGATACCGTTGATCACAGTATCCTTCTGGGGCGCCTCATTGGTATGGGGCACTGCTCTGCAATGGCTCCGATCCTTTCTTGAGGGACGGTCACAGAAGGTGTTATTGGGTGACACTTGTTTGGCCCCACAACCGTTGTTGCGTGGAGTCCCACAGGGTTCAATTCTGTCCCCAATGTTATTTAACATCTACATGAAGCCACTGGGGGAGATCATTCAGAGTTTTGGAATGAGATGTTATCTCTACATAGATGATGTCCAAATATGTCACTCCTTATCACCTGTCACCAAGGAGGCTGTCCAGACCTTGAACCGGTGCTTGGCCGCTGTGTCGGACTGGATGAGAGCTAACAAATTGAAACTGAATCCAGACAAGACAGAGGTACTCCTGGTCAGTCGTAAGACCAAACAGGGCATAGGGTTACAGCCTGTGTTAGATGGGGTTACACTCCCCCTGAAGACGCAGGTTCGCAGCTTGGGAGTGATCCTGGACTCATCACTGAGGCTGGAATCCCAGGTCTTGGAGGTGGCCGGGAGAGCTTTTGCACAATTAAAACTTGTGTGCCAGCTGCTCCCATACCTTGGGAAGTCGGATCTGGCCACAGTGGTCCATGCTCTTGTTACATCCCGATTAGATTACTGCAACGCACTCTTCGTGGGGTTGCCTTTGAAGACTGTTCGGAAACTTCAATTAGTCCAGCGGGCGGCAGCCAATTACTCACCGGAGCATCATACAGGGAGCATACCACCCCTCTGTTATGTCAGCTCCACTGGCTGTTGATCCAGTTCTGAGCACAATTCAAAGTGCTGGTTTTGACCTACAAAACCCTATACCAGGGGTCCTCATACCTTTTAAACAGAGGGCCAGGTCATAGTCCCTCAAACTGTTGGGAGGGCCGGATTATAATTTGAAAAAAAAAATCAATGAATTCCAATGCACACTGCACATATCTTTTTTGTAGTGCAAAAAACCCCCCTAAAAACAAAACAATTAAAATGAAGAACAATTTTAACAAATATAAACTTATTAGTATTTCAATGGGAAGTGTGGGCCTGCTTTTGGCTCATGAGATAGGATTGTTGTTGTGTGCTTTTCATTGGTTTCAGACTTAGATTGACCCTGAGCGAGGGCCGGGTAAATGACCTTGGAGGGCCGTATCCGGCCCCCGGGCCTTAGTTTGAGGACCCCTGCCCTATACAGTTCCGGCCCAGCGTATCTGTCCGAACGCATCTTCTTCTACGTCCTGCCTCGGAGTTTAAGATCTTCTGGGGAGGCCCACCTCTATCACAAGTGAGATTGGTAGGGAAGAGGAGCAGGGCCTTCTCGGTAGTGGCCCCTCACCTGTGGAATTCACTTCCCGGGGAAATTAGGTCATTGACATCCCTCCTCTCTTTTAGAAGGAAACTAAAAACATGGATATGGGACCAGGCCTTTGTGTAATCTGGRAGACAGACAAAGGACAATGACGACTAGAATTGATAGGATTTGACAATGTGGAATGAATTTARGGATTCTGAGTTGGTGAATGTTGAGCATTAGACTGGTTTTATTGATTGTGAMGTATAATTGATGGTTTTAATTGTTTTAAAATTGTTGTTGATGTATGTTTTTCTCTTATTGTTTGTGTTGGCATCGAATTGTGCCTTTTTGTAAGCCACCCTGAGTCCCCCCTCGGGGATTGAGAAGGGCGGGGTAGAAATGCGCGAAATAAATAAATAAATAAAACCGGGCAACAGCAYAGGCATTATCTGTAGCCTCCAATAATAATAATATTAATAATAATAATAATAATAATAATAATAATAATCTTTATTTATACCCCGTCGCCATCTCCCCAAAGGGGACTCGGAGCYGCTTACATGGGGCCAAGCCCGAACAAAAATACAGTATAACAATACAAATTGCAATAAAATAAACAACATAACATTAAGATATAAAACATCAAAGCATATAAAACAATATACACAGAACATAGGAACTAAGCATAATGACAGAAAGACAAAGGGCGGAACTCATGTACATAAAATGATTTAAAAACTCTGGATGAGATAAGGGGGCAAAACTAATTGTAAGGGAGAACTCAGAGAGAGATAGGAAAATAAGCAAACCTTTGTACATGGAGGTGGGGGGGACTCCTGGGACAAAAACATTGGAGGAGCACTAGCATAAAATTATGTAGCTACTCTTCGAAAGGGCAACAGCAGAGCCAGGTCTTAAGACTCTTTTTAAAGGTTTCCAAAGTAGGGGCTTTCCTAATCTCTCTGGGCAATTCTTCCTCTGTACATGAGGCAGGGCATGGTGGACAAGCATACAGATGCGGAGTTTATTTATTTTATTTACTTACAGCATTTTTACCCCGCCCTTCTCAACCCCCAAGGAGGGACTCAGAGCGACTAACATAGGCAGCAATTTGATGCCACAATAACAATAACATCAGTATAAAACATCTATACATAAAAAGTTAAAAACAGTAACAATTAGTTATATCATCACCCAATCACATAATCACATATTTGTTTCCAAATTATCGTAACAGTAATCAAGTCCAGTTCCATGTTCAAAGTGCTGCTATACCCACTAGCCAAAGGCCTGTTCCATAACCACCATTTTAGTTTTTTTCCTGAAGGACAGGAGTGAGGACGCTGATCTAATCTTGCTGGGGAGCGAATTCCACAAGCGGGGGGGGGGGGACCGAGAAGGCCCTGTCCTTCGTCCCTACCAGATGCGTTTGCGAAGCCGGTGGGACCGAGAGCAGGGCCTCCCCAGCAGATCTTAGACTATGAGGTGGAACGTAGAGATACATTTGGATAAGTAAGCTGGGCCAGAACCGTATAGGGCTTTATAGGCCAAGACCAACGCTTTAAATTGTGCTCGGAAGTGGAGCTGGCATAACAGGGGGTGGTGTCGGTTCTGCTCCACAGGTGTGGGATTCTTTTAGGTAGTGCCATTTTACCAGGTTGTCTTCTGATCTGCCCATTCCACTTCTGAGTCTATTCAGGGACTTCCAGGTTGCCCATTCTTGGTTTGCCCCTGGAGGAAGACCCTCGTGGGGGGCCATCCAGTTGGGATTTCCTGGTTTACTTGCCCAGAGGGATTCCCTTGCTGTTSCTGGGGGGACACCAAGAGGAGTGGTAGTTCTCATGAAACTTTTCCTTGATTTGAGTCTACTGGGCAGAGGCTGGTAGCCATGTAGTGGATGGCTTTCACAGAGTTCAACCTMATTTCTATCACATTTAGCAGCAACTTCCCATCGCACATTGGCGGGGGTGGGGGTGTGGGGGGGGGGTGGGCAATGCCAGCTAGCTTGTAGAGTTTATCAACAGGTGTAGGTTTAAGACATCCTGTGATTATTCTGCATGTTTCATTCAATGCTGTGTTCTCCTGCTTTGCATGGGCAGCCCTATGCCAAACAGGGCAGACATACTTGTCAGTTGAGTAAGACAAGGCTAGGGCTAATGCTCTTACTAATTTTGGGTCTGCACCCCATGTGATGCCAGGAAGTTACCCCAGGATGTTATTGCATGCAGCTGCTTTGTGCTTGGTGTTCAAGCAGTGCTTCCTATATGCTAGTGTTCGATCTAAGGTGACACCGAGATATTTAGGATGGAAACAATGTTCAAGCTCTTAACCTTCCCAGGTGACTTTCAATTTCCTCCAAATGAGAGCCAACCCTTTGGAAAATGGCATTCATAATCTTTTTTTTTTTGGGGGGGGGGAACTTTTGGAGATCATAATTTTAAAAGAAAAGCACGACCTTTCTGAGAAGAGCCAAAAACCCTTTAGAGTAGAATCTTCTCTTGGGGTATACAACGAGATATAATTATGCTAGGCAATGGTTTCAGTTGTTAGACTGAATAACCTCTTGTGTCTGATCTGTTAGGAAAACAGAGATTTTGCCAGTGCATAAAACAGCTGAGCTTTAGACACAAGGACATAGGCATATATCATAGGGGACATTGTTATACCTCCCCTCCAATAAATTTTGCAAGGGTGAATGCTTTTCTGTGTTTTGGAATGGTTAAAACGTTAAAACGACTTGCTAGCATAGAAAGACTGACCACTGTTTCTGAATTCAGGATGCGCAGTAGCTGCACTTACGTGGTACTACAG